GAACCTCTTCGGCGGTCTTGGACCAGTGGAAGCTCGAAAACGCGAGAAGCCAAAAACACTGCAAGAACAAGTGGAAATCGACGATTAGGGCCACTTCGGGCCGTCCCGGGACGCCTCTCGGACCTCTCTTGGGGTCTCTTGGAGGCCACCTGGGAGCCTCGAGAGCCGACCGAAGGCTGACTTGGGCTACTTGGGAACGTCTTGGACCATCTTTTCACATTCTGGGTGTTCCTGGGAGGCGTCTTGGGCCCTCCTGGGGCGCTGTGGAGGCTCCCCGGAAAGGCCTCTTGGGCTCCTGGGGGGCGTTCTTGTGCGGTTTAGGCGCCTCGCAGGCCGTCTTGGCCCCCTCGTGGGCCGTCTTGGGGCCCTCTTGGGGGCATCCTCGACTGCCTTGGGTGCCTCTTGGGCCGTCTTGGATGCCGTGGACGCCCACAAGGCCCCCATAGGAAATCGACGATTTTTGCTTATTGGGCCACTCTCGGGGTGCCTCTTGGGGCGTCTTCGGAGCCTCTTTTGCTGTTTTTTCGAATCTCATGGGTGCCTCTTGGGGTTTCTGGGCCCCTTCCTGGAGCGTCTTAGAGTTTCCTGGGAGTCTCTTGGGCCAAACGGCCAGAATTTCCGGTTCCTCGTCCCCGTCTTGGGCACCACCTTGGGGCGTTCTTGGGCGGTTTGGGCGCCTCGTGGGCCGTCTTGGCCCCCTCGTGGACCGTCTGGGGGCCCTCTTGGGGGCATCCTCGACCGGCTTGGGTGCCTCTTGGGCCGTCGTGGACGCACTGGACGCCCAAAAGGAAAACACGCCAAAAGTATAAATTTTCCCATCGGAAAGCGGCAATTTTTGCGTATTGGGCCACTCTCGGTGTGCCTCTGGGGGCGTAGTCGGGGCCTTCGGGGACCTTGGCGGCTCCTGGGGCCTCCCTGCAGCCTCGTGGGGCCATGTTGGCCCCGGGACGCCGAAACCTCGTAAGGAAAAACGAGGCCCGGTACTCCCATGCCCTGTCGAGGCACCGGCCCCGGGCGCCAGGGCGTCGTGCCCCGGGATACATATATATATATATATATATATATATGTATATATATATATATACACATATATATATATACATATATATATATACACATTTTTATGTGTATATATATACATGCATACATACGTACATACATGCATGCATACATGCAGGCAGGCAGGCAGGCAGGCAGGCAGGCAGACAGACAGGCAGACAGACATACACACATACATACACACATGCTGCAAAACATATGGCGCTGAGGGCAATCACGCTTCCCAGTCACAGCCAGCCCCAACCTCAAAAGGCCTTCGAAGGCGATGCGTTATCTGCATGCGTGCGCTGAACTAGGCGGGCCAATCCTGGCCGAACACACGTGCGCACGCCTCATGGACGTGGCCAGGGAGGCGTGCAAACACTGAGCCCGCGGACGACCTGGTCATGATCGGTCTACGTTGATGTAAAATCTACAGTGGGCAGAACCTCCTTTTTTAGCACAGCCCCCTTTCACGATAACGACCTAGGACCCGACCATACGGGCGCACGCCCCGCAGGATCTGCAGCCGCAACGTCGGGCGAGAACCGAAGAAGGAGAATTCAAGAATCGACTTGGCAAAGTGGGAAATTTGGAAGAACCCGATAAAATGCCTGCGCTCTAACCGTACCCCCTCTTTGTTGACGACACCTGCATGTCCGTACCATTACTCGCAAAGTAGCTACTCGCAAATGGCCTGGATCCGCCGCGGGGGAATCTACGATACATAGCATCGAAGCAGACATGTGCTTTTCGGACGTTTGCGAGTAGGCACTCTGCGAGTAGTGGAACGCGCTCGGCGAAAATACCGGCGATCTCCGCCAGCGCGTTGACCAGCCCGGTGTACCACAGCACCCTTTCACGATAACGACCTAAGACCCGACCAAACGGGCGCACGCCCGCAAGATCTGCAGCCGCAACGTCGGGCGAGAACCGAAAAAGGACAGTTTGGAAAAACCCGATACCATGCCTGCGCTCCAACCGCACCTCCTCTTCTGTGGGTTGACGACACCTCCTTGTTGGACGCCCGAAATGGGCACGGAAAGAATGGGTACACTGCCCAACAACAAATGTCGTCCCAAACCAACAGCGGCCACTGTTGGGCAGGCGGCCTGCTGCCTCAAATGGACACAGGCCGCGGCGACACCGACAGCGAGTCCTGCTCAAAATGAACAGGAACTGCTGTTGGGCATTGTACCCGTTCTTTCTGTACCCATTTCGTTCGGGCGGCCAAGAGGGGGGCGTCCAAGAGGGGGGGGGGGCGCAAATCATGGACGGCGAAACGTGCGCGACTCAGGGGGGTGGCAGGAACGTAATGAAATAAGAAGAGGCGCCATGAAATCTAAGCAACTATCATGGCCCACGCCATGATATCCACCCCCCCTCAGTCATCACCCCCCTCTTTGCCGCCCCCGACTGTCTGTTGACGACACCTCCCTGCCCGAGAAAAAATGCCGGCGACCTCCGCCAGCGCGTTGACCAGCCCGGTGTACCACTGGCGCAGCTCTGGCCCGGCCGCGCGGCTGGGAGCGAGGCGCCCGCGCGCACTCGTTTGGACGAGCCCGCGGGGACGGCAGGCGCCGTCGCCGACGCCCGGCGAGCCCCCACCGGCAGGGGGGCAGCTCTGCAAGGGCCCTGGGACACGCTTAATCAACAGACACAAATCACAGGATTCCCCACATTCCCAATATCTTGTCTGGGGTTTCGCCCCCCCCCCCCCCACATCCTCCCATATTTGTCCCATCTTTTCCGGGGAATCGACGATTGGTTGTGTCTGTGTGTTTTTTCCCCTCCTGGATCTTGGGGCGCTGCGAGACGCGGCGCGCACCCAACCCCGCGAAGTCTGCCGCGCTGCCGCCAGCGCGACGCAGGCCCCGCGAGCGCAGCGTGCGGCCGCGCACAGACTTGCTCGGCACCCGCTCTTCCCGCGGGAGGCTTCGGCCGAGCGCGTGCCCGCTGCAGCCCAGCGACCCGCGGATGTCACCACGGCGGCGGCGCACAACAAGGGGGGCGCGGCGGGGGGGAAAGGCACTCTGCGAAGGCCGTGGGCCTCTCCCGGGCTGGGCGAAAAGGGGGGGGTAGCAAAGGGGGGGTGTGAGAACGAGCTGACGCACAAGTCCCGAGACACAGATTCAAGGAACAGCCCGAAAACTCAGGCCCCTTCTGAACCCAGAGTGGTCCTTATTTCAGCGTCTTGGCTGTAGCTGATTTTCCCGGCGCCTCCCGGCGCTGGAAGGCGCCCATGCATCGAGGAATGGGCCCGGCGGCGGGGCCGAAACCAGCTGCACGCAACAGATTTCGTACCCCCCCCCCTTTCCCCTTACCACCCCCTTCCGCTCGGCCCGCCGAGACTCTCACGAGGGATCGGCCTCATCTGCGAGGACCCTGAAGGCTCCGCAGAACAGGCGCGTACAAGAAGAGATCTTGCTATCGGAAATTTCGGGGCACATCCTTCGTCGACGTTAGGCTGCGTGAGGTACCCCAGGGCTCTGCGAGCCCATCGGGGGACGAACGATTCCCGTGTGGGCACCCACTGGCGGGCCGGCTCCAGCTTTGGTGTGCCCTCCGAAGGCGGGAGAGAGCTCCTCCGAGCTTGAGCCTGTTTTTTTTTGGACTCTGGCAAGTTTACTTGCATGGGCTGGGGGGGGGCTGAGCCTGAAGCAAGCCCGGGGGGGGGGGGGGGGGCGCGGAAATCACGCAAGTCGAAAGGCACTTGCACGCTGGTATTCGCTTGAAGAGGGGCGAGGGGGGGGGGGGGGGCGAACGCCATGCAAGTAAACTTGCCTGAATCCACAAAAAAACAGGCTCCTTCAGATCTGGTGTGCCTTTAGAGGGCCGGAGAGATGGTGTGCCTTGAGAGTGGGGCCGAGGCTCGAGCTAAACAGCGCTTCCCATGCTTCCTGTGCTCCTTCGTGCTCCATAGTTCTGTCCTCGTTCCGCCGCTGCTCCGAGGCGAAATCGCCAGAGCACGTTTAGCTCGATCCCCGGGAGGGGGGCGCCTTCTCAGCCTAAAGCAGGGCTAGGATCGGGATAATTCGCTCCAGAGCGTTCCGGAGCGCTCTCAGAGCGTTCCGGAACGCTCTGGAGCGGCCGCGGCGCCCAATTCATCCTCCAAACCCGCCGATTCTCAGAGATTTCGAATGATCCCGATCCGAGTTTGTCCCGATCTTCGCGTCGTTTTGCAGCCCCCCCTTCCCTCGCCCCTCGCCCCGCCCGCCCCGGAGTCCGTCGAATCTCACGGGCCCCACCAGCTGCCGCCCGCCGCGCTCTGCCCGAGCGCGGAAGGCTCCGTGACACCGTAGGGGCCTCGCGGCGCCGCCCTCCGGCTCCCTGTCGCTCGGACGTCCATTCCCTCTCCTTTTTGTCGGTTTCGTGCGTGGATTTCTCGCAGGATGATCCAGGATGCTCCTTAACAGTCTGACTACCTACCAGACCCCCCCAACCCAACCCGAAGACCCGACTTTCGGGTTGGGGGGGGTACGGGCTTCACATGTGTTTTCTCAACGTTCCCCGACCCCCTCCCACTGGAAGTGGAGGGCAAATTTGGGCCTTCGGGTTGGGTTGGGGTGGTTTGGTAGGTAGTGACAGTCCCTGCCGAGAGAAAGCGTACACGTCCGAGCGGTACCGAAGGCGAGCAGGTCTCTGGCCCGGGCCGCGGGGCGCGGCCGTCCCAAGGCCCCCGAATATGCAGCCTGGGCGCCTCGGAGGCGGCCCGCTGCCCCATCCCCTCGGCGCGCTCTCCGCCGAGGGCGGAGGAAATGGTAGGGAGGTCGGAAATTGTGGTCGGGACGTTGGCCTAAGGAACCCTACATTGAAGGGGCCCCAGGACACATACAAATAAATACACACAAATAAAAATATTCCCCATATTTCCCCATATTTTCGGGGGTTTCGTCTTCCCCCTCACTTCCCATATTTTCCAATATTTTCCTGGGAAACGAAAATTAATTGTGTCTGTGTGTTTTCCCCCCTCCGAATAAATAAGAAACGAGGCCCCTTTTTCTCAAAAGTTAAGCTTCGATTCCCCGTGGGGAACCTCGGGAACGCCCCAAGCAAAAATCGTGAAGCAATCGAGGAACACCGAGCCCCTCCCCCACGAAAGGGGCCTTCCCCAACTCGCGAAAGGGGCTCAACGAAAGGGACACCTGCCCAACGAGAGGAACCCCCTTCGTTGAGAAGGAGCCCCTCCCCAACGAAAGGGGTTCCTTCTTCAGCGCTCCGACTGCAGGGCCTCGCGACGCCGCCCTCTGGAGGCGAGCAGGCCTCTGGCCCAGGCCGCGAGGCGCGGCCGCCCAAACGCCCCCGGATGGAGCCTGGACGCCTCGGAGGCGGAGGGAGGGAGGGAGGGAAGGAGGGAGGATACTGAATACTGAATACTGAAACTCCGAAGAGGATGGGGCTCACGCCAGTCGAACACAGGCCGCGCATGGCGCCTGCGCGCTCGCAACGCCGAGCAACATTCGGCCGTCGATAGACAGCTCGGCATCAACCGTAAGAGAATTTTGTGCCAACAGACCCGACGCGGCGTCGACCTTCCTAGGCTGTTGGGAAGATACCGTGCACGCTGCAAAATGCCCAGTGCGCGGCTCATACTGCGCGGTGGCCACCAGGCGCTGGGATGCCTGCCCCGTGGACAGCCGCATCGGGCCCAGCGCGCCCCTCAAGGGCTGGCCACCGTGTCTGCCCAGGCGCTGGGATACAGAGCCTCGGCTGGCTGTGTCAGGGCGCGGGCTTGCCGTCAGGCGTGCCCCTGTTCTGCTTGAACGGGTTGTACGCCTGAGCCCGTGCCGCCACGACGTCGGCCTGAAGGGAACTGACGAGCTCCATGGCACCCTGCAGCGCCGACGCGAGCTCCTCCTTGTCTCCCTTCACGGCCTCGAACTCCTTGAGCTCCTTCTCGTTCAGCTGGATCTTCAGCTTGAGCGCTTCCTTCACCTCGCGCTCAGTGTTGATCCTCACGCTCATGGTCTCTACCAACTCGCTGCGCTCCTCCTTGATCTTCGCGATCTCGCCTTCGAGGAGCGCCTGCTGGGCCTCCGCCGCGCTCACCGCCTCAGCCATGCGCAACGTCACCTCGTCGCGCTGCTGCTGGACGGCCTGCTCCGCCACGGACTTGGCCTCAGCCTTCACCTGCACTAGCTGCGCCTCCAGGCCCGCCACCTTGGCGGCAAGCTTGCGCGTCGCTTCTGTCTCGGTGTCCTGGCTCTTGAGCTTGATCGACAGGCCACTCTTGCCATCCTGGCTGCAGCCGCCAATGCCCTGGCCAACCCCCTTCCCGAGCGCGTCCTTGTTGAACTTCGCCTTCTCCTCCGTCGTGAACGGGTCAGTGACGCCACACTGGTCCAGCGACGCGAAGAAGGCCACGATGTCGTCCGCCAGCTGCACGTCTGGATGGCCTTCCACGTTACGAGCCTTGCTTAGCCTCCCCACGCGCGCTGCCAGGGTCGATCCATTCGGCCCCGCCTACCGCAGGGTGGACTTGGCAGTCGAGAGGGAGGGCTTGGTTCCCCCCGTCGCCTTGTCAATTGCTGCAAGCACCTCCTCCATGTGGGTCAGGAGCCTGCCGCCTCCGGAGCTGCCATCGCAGGCAGCCGCCCCGGCAGCAGCGCCCTGCGCTGCGCCCCGCGCCGCCGCCGTGACGAGCGTGGCCAGCTGCTTGCCCACGTACTCCGTAGCGAGAACCGCCGCGACGGCACCGAAGGCGCTGGCTGCCGTGGGGGACCGCGCCAGCAACGCCTCCATCGCCGTCGAGCCTCGCCCGACCAGCAGCGGCGAGGGAAGGGCAGAGACGTCCACCCCGAAGGGCCGTTCCACCCAACCCCGTACCCCCAACGAATGGAGGACCGCTTTCTGGTGGCCGCCGCCCGTGTTCCTGCCGAATGGCTTGAGCCAAAATGGCTACGGAGGGAGGGAGGGAGGAGGAGGACGCCTCGAAGGCGGCCCGCTGCCCCCCCCCCCCCTGGCCATCGCTCGGACGTCCACTCCCTGTGTTTTGTTTTGGTTTCGTGCATGTTTTTTTGCCGCCAGATGGTCGCAGGCGCTCCTCGATGGTCCTCGCCGGAGCCTGCTTTTTTTTGGATTCAGGCAAGTTCACTTGCATGGCGTTCGCCCCCCCCCCCCCCCCCCCCCTCCTCGCCCCTCTTCAAGCGAATACTAGCATGCAAGTGCCTTTCGACTTGCGTGATTGATTTCCGCGCCCCCCCCCCCCGGGCTTGCTTCAGGCTCAGCCCCCCCCCCGTCCATGCAAGTAAACTTGCCTGAATAAAAAAAACAGGCTCCCGAAAGAACAATGCACACGTCCGAGCGATGCCAAGTAGGGGGTTCGGAAGTTGCCGACCAGCAGCCGCTCGAGCGTACCCCCGCGCGGCATGCTCCTACACAGGGCCTGGCAGGGCGGCCCACGGGGCGCAGCGGGCCGCCAACGGCCGGCGGGGGGGGGGGGGTTAAGAGTGAGGGCCCCCAGGGCGCCAACGCTGGCGTCTGACACCGCCTTGATCGCTCGCCGCCTCTGTCGACGCGGACCTGCTGTAAATCGGCGTTCGCGCTTCGCGCGGCGTAGCGTACTCTTCGCGGTCCGAGGCCAGACCTGTGGGGAAAAGCAACTGTGCGGCCCAGACCGCGGAGCGCGACTGCTGTTCGGGCGTTGGGGTTAGATGTTCGTTGTTGGGACCTTCGGGAGGGCCACCTCACGGATGAGCTCGGCTCAAGTTCGACTCAAGCTCGACTCCACTTCGCCTCAACTTCGCCTCATTTCGACGGGCGTTCGAAGCAACATCGACGCATGAGTGGACCGAGTGGCTCCAAGAAGGACCCCGGAACGAACATCTGACAAGGGTTTCTTCGAGAGCTCACGCCGAGCCGTGAAGAGGTCAAAACGACCCAGCACGTACGACAGATCGCAATGGCTCGAGCGGCGGCTGCGCGCTGGTCAAAAACCCTACAACCTGGGCGTCTGGGTTGCAGCCGCAAAGGTGGGCAGGGAGCAGGGGGTAGCGCGGTGTTATTCGCGCTCTCGCGCCGCACCCAGACCAGGCAAGGAAGCGCGACGCGTGGACATGCTCGCGCGCCCGCGTGGGTGGCCCGAGGAGAGAAGCGGGAAACACAGGGCAGAAGGGCAGACGAAGCTCAAATCCGCTAGGAAGCGCTGGCGATGGCGGTTGCAACGCCAGATGCAGTCCCAACAGAACCTGGACCTGGGGCATTCTCAGGGCCCCTCCGGACGGAGGCGGTGCTGACTGTGAGCTGCGCGCGTGCACACATCGCGCTCCTGACAGACGCGTGGGCCTGAGGTGCGCGCCCTCGGCCCCCCCTTCCCCGCGCTGAGCGCCCTTCGCGGCCTCCCCGCTCAGCCGCTTCGGCGGACGAGCCCTCCTCAATGACTCAACCCACAGAGGCGATCGCGCACCGAGCCCCCGCGGGGCGGCCAGCCTGGGCGGCGGAGGACCGGGTGCTGCACACGATTGCCAGACCCGGCCGCGCCCTCTGGGAAAAACGCTGCGCCAATCGTGGAAAGCACCCCACGGGCCTGGAACGCACCACTGAAGGGGCCCTGGGACACACACATAAATACACACAAACAAAAGGATTCCCCATATTTTTCCATATGTTCTCGGTTTTTGTCCTCCCCCCCACTTCCCATATTCTCCCATGTTTTCCTGGGGATCTACGATGGAGTGTGTCTGTGTGTCTTTTTGTCCCTCCTAAATCACCACGCGTCAGGCACCCCCCCGGCGCTCACCGGCCGCCCCCTCGCCAGCGCAGGCCCAGGGCGACCGAGGCCTGCGCCCCCCCCCCCAAGGCCTCCCTTCCCACCCCTGGCCCTCACTAGACGAGCGCGTTCCACGACTCGCAGAGTGACTACTCGCAAATCGCCTGGATCCGCGGGGGAGGGAATCTACGAGAAACTACGTTGAAGCAGACACGCTGGGCGCCCGAGTTATCCGGGGTAACTCGGGTCCAGGGTAACTCGGGTTCGGAATCCCGACAAAACCAACCCGAGTTAGCCCTGACCCGAGTCACCCCTGATGATTCGGGGCCCTGGACGCCCGAATTAGCCGGGGTAACTCGGGTCCGGGGTAAATCGGGTTCGGAATCCCGAAAAACGAACCCGAGTTAGCCCTGACCCGAGTTACCCCTGATGATTCGGGGCTCTGAACACGTGTCTTTCGGACGCTTGCGAGTAGGCACTTTGCGAGCAGTGGAGCGCGCTCGGTGACTCACGACAAAACACCCGCTGGCCCGCGTCTCCTCTGCCGGACGTCCTCGGCGCTCGACAGGCCGCCGACCTCGGTCGCCGCAGGGGCGCGGCCGACGCGCGGGTTGGGGGGGCCCGCCGCTGGAAGTGCTTCGCCACTATCCGTCAGCGCTTCTGAAACGGGGACTCCACTACCGCATACTTTGGCCAGTGACCCAGCGAACCCAACCCTTCCCGATGTGGGCAAAGGTGCAATGCAAAAAAAAGCCTAAAATGGCAACTTTCGGCAAACATTCAAAGTACCCGTTAGTAAGTACCCGTTACGGTGCCGTTGAATCCGCCTCCTGGGAGCGTCCCCGGGCCCTGGGGACCGTTCAAAAGCAACCTGGCGCGGAGAACAGGCCTCCGGGAACGGGTCCAAAACCGACCCAAAACCAATAGAGGCATCACAGCCTCTGATCATCATACTGTCTAGGTTGATCCACTCACGGATCCAACACTTCATCCTCTACTCAATTCATTCCATGCGTAGCATGCTCTCCCTACATGGCTCTGTCCACGGTGCGCGAGAAACGGCGTCGGGGGTCTGGGGGCGGGGGAGGGGACAGCCGAACGTGCACACCATGTCTAGCCGGATGCCAACAAACAGGCAGCGAGAAGCTGGGGCCGCGGCCCTCACACCGATACCTGCGATTGGCGAAGCTGCTATCCCGTCCGCTTCAGTCAGGAGTTTAGGAGGCCCTCCCCTCCTGATTATCTTTGCAGGTGTTCCATACGATGGCATTGTCATCCGCCGCCCAGCATTGGTCTGAGCACAGTTTCTGTGTAACGGTACGCTTGCATGTTCGTATGTAACCATGTGTTTCTTGGTATTCATGTCATGTGGCTTCTTGCCGGTCCGCTACCTACGCGGAGCTTCTTGCGTGCGTCATGGCGTCATGGCTGCAGGAGACGAGCGGCCAACGACGACAGCAGCGGCGACAACGTTGATGATCCGATCGCCTGCCGAGGGGTCGAAGGCCTAGACCCTAGCCGGCCCTCCATTCTCGAGGTCACCTGAGGACCCTGGAGGACCTCCCCGGACGCCGTGACTCTTTCACGTCGTGGCGGAGGTCGAAGCTCGACGGAAACCTCGCGCCGTGCTTTTTCCCAGAAAGCGCAAGGAGGGAGGGGGCACGGCAACGAAGCGCAGGCCGACGACGGCGGCGGCGAGCGCGACCGGCGCCGAGGCCCCGCGCGCCCGCCGAGGCCGCGGGCGCCACGCCGACGCGGCCATCGCGCCGCGGCTACCGCGCCGCTCGCCGCCGGCCGCCGGCCCGCCGGGCCCGCGGCGTGCACCACGGCGAAGCGGCCCTGCAGCCGCTGCCGGCGCGCCGCCGCCGCCAGCGCGGCGGCCTGCTCCGCGCTGCGCCCGCGGATCGGCGGCCCGCTGAGGCCGCCCCCGTAGGCGCCTCGGCGGCGGCCGACGGCGGCCGCGATCGGCGGCAGCGGCAAGTGGAGGCCGCCGCCGCCGCCGTCCGCGCCAGGCCGCGGGGGGCCGAGGGCGGCGGCGGCGGCGGCCAGCGGCGGCGACGGCGGCCGCGGCATCGGGAGGCGGAGGACGAGGTCGAGGGCGAGGGGCGGCGGGCAACGGACGATGGCAAGGGGCAACGACGGGGAAGAGCGGCGGACGACGAAGAACCCCGACGACGACACCGACGGCCCACGGAGACCAACGACGGACGACGACGCCGATGGACAACGACGACATGCTACCGATGGCGGCAAACGTGACCCAAACGAGTGAAGACAACGGACGACGACGGACGTCGTACGACGACGACCAACGACGACGACGCGTCACGAGAATGACCAAGAATGTAACTTTGCGCGTGCTGCACCTCGCCCCGTAGGTGCTGCAGCCCAACGGCGCGCGGAAGAACCTCGAGACCTGGGCTGCTGCCGAGAAAACGCACCCAGCCCTGCTTCCCGCTAAGCCCTCGTGAACACTCCTCGTTGGCCAACGGCCTGCATGACTTGCACCCTGATCAGACTACGCGTCCGTGCCCAGGTGAGATGTTCTAAGCGAGGCGCCAGTGTAGTGCTCCAGCAAGCTCTTGTCCCCTGCCTGCGCTGTTGTTGACCGGTGTGTGAGAAAACCAACGGCCAAAGCGAAACATGTGCTTCACAAGAATTGAGAGCTGTTCGTGGAAAAAGGGGTTGGAAACTTATCATCTCGGCATTAAAGCTAGGGGCATCAACGATCAACAGCTCGTGACGTATCGTCGCCACATGTCACCCCTGGAGGCTGGATCACACCATGCGAACGAGCACAATTTGCAACTGCATGGCGGCGTGGGGGGGGCAGTACAATGGAAGCCAACATTGCAAGCAATGTGTTACGCCAACTCACCTCAAAATGGGGTGACATTACCAGACACTACCATGTATCCAGAACTGGGTGAGGCGACGAAGCTTGGTGTTGAAGAGCATGCGTTGACTTGCTGATCGAAACCTTCGAAACCTCAAAGGCATGTATTTATGAGTCGGCTAGAATGCACAACTGGACACTTTATTAGTCCTTGATGCAGACATACAAAACAATGGCAACATCAAAATGGCTTCCATTCCAAGTGCGGCTGAGCCTGACACGTGTCTGCTTCGAGCGCAACACTCGTGGAACGACTGATGTCCAAGACCTTGACTGACCCCTGGCATCGATGCATCAGGGCACGGACATCCAAGCGCGGGGGATACTCAGCAGTCGCTGGGGCCACCTTGCGCAAGCGATGGTCCAACACAGCGTTTCATCTTCGTCCGATTTTGCGTACGGCCAGAAACTGCTTCTGCATGGACCCCCTCCTGAACACAACCCATCGTCCCATCCATGCGTTGAGAACCGAAATCAAACTGAGCGATCAAGCCCCCCCTGGGCAGTCATTGCAAGCACTCTCATCAATAACTCGCATTGACCAGTAGTCCCTTCCGCGAAGAGAAACAATAACTGAGCACCTCCAGATCGAAAGAGCTATAGTCTCGCTGTGTGTTCAGCACGACTACGCCATCCACCCCGTTGGCGGCGAGAAGCTTCACTGTCGTGTCTGGATCACCTGGGCGCTGGCGCTTTGACAACGTAGCCTTCCTGAGCGACAAGGGTCTTCCTGCGCACACGGGTCTCCAAATTAGCCTTGCGAATGGCCAAACCATATGCAAATGCATCTATCGCGGGGTGTGGCCCTCTCCTCACATATGTACTCTGCTCTGCCGGGGGCATTGCGGATACGTGGCTGCGAAGGAGGCGTGCAGAGGGGCGCTGAGCTCCCTATAGGATGCGATCCTCGCGAGGGGTGTGCCGAATGGGCGGATGCCCGCATAAGAATGCATCCGCTGTGGCAGCGACTCCATACGGGTCACAATCCTTACGAGGGGTGTGCTAAAATGGGCCAGAGGCCCGAACGCACACTCTGAGGCCGTAGGTGGACCTCCTTCTGAGGCGCTATCCGTGTGCAGGGTACTCCGAGATCGGCGGACCGACGCCATGCGAGGTCCTCCACCAACGCCGGAAGAGCACCTCCCTGAGGGACACGATCCGTGCGAGGGAAGTGCCTGAATGGGCGGAGCAAGGGTCGGGGGCGCACGCCAAGCAAGGTCCTCCCCTGGAGCTATCTGTGGAGCTCCCCGCTGTGCACAACCCGTACAAAAGGTGTGCCGAAGTGGGCGGGGCGACACCATGAGAGCTTCTCCACCATGGGGGCCACTGGCGGGGCTCCCCTGTGCGGCACGATCCGCGCGTGGGGGTGTGCGACAGGGACGCCGCGGGCAGGAGGGCGATGAAGGGAGAGTGAGGCGGAAGAGGGGGAGCGAGAGCGGCGCTGCAGATCGGAACCTAGATCACCTAACTTCGCGCATTGCGCCCCGCGATGCGCGTCGCGCGATTATCTTCGAGCCTTCGCGCCGCGCCCTGGAGACCGACGCCGACGCGCGAGGCGCGATCATCTTCGCGCCCCTAGGAGGGACCTCGTTGAAACCAAGGGCAGGTGAACTCAGAAGGGTGGGAACAAGTGTCTGCTCGCACAAGTCTCCGGTTCGTCTGCTGCACCCTGACCGGTGGCAGAGCAGCTCCAGTCTGAGAGGCGTGGCGCCGCGTAGAAGCCCCCAGGATGCTAAAACTGTGACAAAACGCAATTGCATCCCCCGAAAGGCTCCTCGATGCGGTACGATCCATCGACCCGACCTGCTGAGACGCAAGTCGGTCGGCCTGGAAACTCGACGGCCTCGGGACGGCCCAACACGAACCCAAGGCGGCCCACGCCCACGCCCCCAGACGGCCCCGAGACGGGTGAGGCCCGACCCTTGGCCCGAGTTGGCCACCCCGCGGCCAATTGACCGCCATCAGATTTGGACGCCCGACATGGGTACCGAAAAAATGGGTACGATGCCCAACAACAAATGTTGTCCCAAACCAGCAGCGGCCGCTGCTGGGCAGGCGGCCTCCTGTTGGGCATTGTACCCATTCTTTCGGTACCCATTTCGGGCGTCCGACAGCCCGCCGCGCGCCGACCCGCCGGAGGGCCCCCAGAGGCCACACAGAGGGGCACCGCGAGAGCCGTGCGGCGGCCGTGCTACGCTGTGGCGTCACCGCAGCTTCCCCAAGCGGACTGGCGGACTTTAGTACTTACCATGCGCGCCTTAGCGCGGACAATCTCTTCGGAAGGGAGGAGGGAAGGAGGAACCCATGTCATGAAGATTTTTTCAGAACTCTGATAACCTTCTTGGGGCAATAGCTGTGCAACGGCACAATGAAACTGTCACGGAATACCTCTTGGAGGTGGTGACCATGTCGAAAAGTCCGAAGAACAGTTAAATGCCTGAAGTGATCCAGACAGTGCTCGTGTCTCCAGACGAGGAAGTGATCCAGACCAGCCCATGTCATGAAGAAACGCCGTACTCCCCTGAAACGCTCTGAAGCACCGCCCGAGGAGCGACCTATGTCGCCGAGCTTCACCAGGATCGGCACCCTCCGGCCTATGGCAGACCTGAGGGTCGCAAGAATGTAACACGCTGCGCCGCGTCGCTGGCGCTCGAACCCTCGCCCGCAGAACGGCAATCGCTTAGCAATCCTCCAAGGCCTGAGCACACTGACACACAGAATGGATGGAATCCCGCCAACCCTCTGGGCATACGTACTATACGGGGGCTCTCCGTTCAACACACTTTTCCCTTTGCGGGGAGGCTATCCATGTTCATTCTGAATATATACCGCCTCCTCCACCCGAGATTTCCCTACCTCACGATTTCTCGCCCAAAACCGACCAACGGCCCTCTCCATGACCCTCCCCCCTGGCCCCGACACCCCCATGCCTCTGGGCCCCGACACCCACATGCCTCTGGGCTCTGTTCTTGAGACCTCCTACCTCACGATTTCTCGCCCAAAACCGACCAACCTCTCCCTCCATGACCCCCACCGGCCCCCCATACCTCCATGCCTCTGGGCTTTGTTCTTGAGACCCCCCTACCTTAGATTTCTCGCCCAAAACCGACCAACGCCCCCCTCCATGACCCCCACCTGGCCCCGACACCCCCATGCCTCTGGGCTCTGTTCTTGAGACTCCCTACCTACGATTTCTCACCCAAAACCGACCAACGCCTCCCTCCATGACCCCCACCTGGCCCCGACACCCCCATGCCTCTGGGCTCTGTTCTTGAGGTCCTCCCACCCACGATTTCTCGCCCGAAACCGACCAACGCCTCCCTCCATGACTCCCACCTGGCCCCGACACCCCCATGCCAGACCTCCTACTAGATTTCTCGCCCAAGACCGACCAACGCCCCCCAATCATGACCCCCACCTGGCCCCGACACCCCCATGCCTCTGGGCTCTGTTCTTGAGACTTCCCTACCGCACGATTTCTCGCCCAAAACCGACCGACCTCTCCCTCCATGACCCCCACCTGGCCCCGATACCCCCATGCCTCTGGGCTCTGTACTTCAGACCCTCCTACCTCACGATTTCTGTGCCAAAACCGACCAACGCCCGCCTCAATGACCTCCCACCTGGCCCGACGCCCCCTGCATCACGAGTTCTCGCCCAAACCCGACCAACGCCCCCCTCCAATGACCCCCGCCTTGCCCCGACACCGCCACATGCCCTCTGGGCTCCTGTCTTGTTTCGAGACCCCCCTGCCGCACGATTGCTCGCCCGAAAACGGAACCGATGCTCCCCTCCATGACCCCCCACCTGGCCCCGACAAACCCCCTATGCCTGGACCGCTCTGTCGTTGAGACCCCCCTACCTCACGATTTGCTCTGCCAAAACCGACCAACGCAGCCGCCGTCCATGACCCCTCCTGGCCTGAAACAACCTTCCTGTCCTCTGGGGCTCTGGTCTGAGACGTCCCTACCATCGCGATTTCTCGGCCCAAAACCTAACCGGCGCCTCCCTCCATGACCCCCACCTGGCCCCGACACCACCATGCCTCTGCTCTCTGTTCTTGAGGCCCCCCCACTTCACGATTTCTCGCCCGAAACCGACCAACGCCTCCCTCCATGGCTCCCACCTGGCCCCGACACTGTCTCTGGGCTCTGTTCTTGAGACCCTCCTACCTAACGATTCCTCGCCCCAAACCGACCAACGGCCCCCCTCCATGACCCCCTCCTGGATCCGACACCCCCATGCCTCTGGGCTCTGTTCTTGAGACCCCCCTACCTCACGATTCCTCGCCCAAGACCGACCGACCTCTCCCTCCATGACCCCCACCTCGCCCCGACACCCCCATGCCTCTGGGCTCTGTACTTCAGACCCTCCTACCTCACGATTTCTCTGCAAAAATCGACCAACGCCTCCCTCCATGACCCCCGCCTGGCCCGACACCCCCATGCCTCTGGGCTATGTTCTAGAGACCCCCCCTACCTCACGATTTCTCTGCCAAAACCAACCAGCGCCCCCCTCCATGACCCCTACCTGGCCCGATACCCCCATGCCTCTGGGCTCTGTTCTTTGAGACCCCCCACATCACGATTTCTCGCCCAAAACCGACCAACGCCCCCCCCCATGACGCCCACCTGGCCCCGACACCTCCATGCCTCTGGGCTCTTTTCTCGAGACCTCCCCCACCTCGCGATCTTTCGCCCAAAACCGACCAACGCCGCCCCCCATGACCCCCACCTGGCCCTGACACCCCCATGCCTCTGGGCGCTGGTCTGAAACTTCCCTACCTGCACTTTTCGCGCCAACATCGACCAACGGCCTCCCATTGAACACCCCCGACGACCTGGCCCCACACACCCCAGGCCACTGGGCCTGGTCGTGGAGACACCCCTACCGCACGATTTCTCGCCCAAACAGCGGACCACGCCTCCCTCCATGACTCCCCACCTGGCCCCGACAGACCCCAATGCCTCGGGCTCTGTTCTTGAGACCCCCCTACCGCACGATTTCGCCAAGGCCGGCCAACGCCCCCCTCCATGACCCCACCTCTGGCCCCGACACCCCCCTAATGCCTGTGACCTCTGTTCTTGAGACCCCCCTACCTCGCGATTTCTCGTCCAAAACCGGTCAACGCCCCCCTCCATGACCCCCACCTGGCCCCGATGCCCCCATGCCTCTGGGCTCTGTTCTTGAGAGCCTCCTACCTCACGATTTCTCGCTCGAAACCGACCAACGCCTCCCTCCATGACCCCCGCCTGGCCCCGACACCCCCATGCCTCTGGGCTTCTGTTCCTGAGACCCCCCTACCTCACGATTTCTCGCCCACAACCGACCAACGCCCGCCTCCATGACCCCCACCTGGCCCCGACACCCCATGCCTCTGGGCTCTGTTCTTGAGACCCCCCTACCTCGCGATTTCTCGCCCAAAACCGACCAACCTCTCCTTCCATGACCCCCACCTGGCCCCGACACCCCCATGCCTCTGGGCTCTGTTCTTGAGACCATCCTACCTCACGAGTTCTCGCCCAACACCGACAAACGCCTCCCTCCATGACCCCCCACCTGGCCCCGACAAGAGGACCCCCCATGGCCTCCTGGGCTACTGTGCTGAGACATGCCCCACCTCACGATGTTCTATTCTCCTCTCAAAACCGACCAACGCCTCCCTCCATACCCCCCCCTGGCCCGAGGCCCCCATGTCTCTGGGCTCTGGTCTTGAGACGTCCCTACCTCGCGATTTCTCGCCCAAAACCGACCAACGCCCCCCTCCATGACCCCCGCCTGGCCCCGATACCTCCATGCCTCTGGGACCTGTTCTTCGAGACCCCCCTACCTCACGATTCCTCGCCCAAAGCCGACGAACGCCCCTCTCCATGACCCCCACCTGGCCCCGACACCCCCATGCCTCTGGGCACTGTTCTTGAGACCCCCCCACCTCGCGATTTCTCGCCCAAAACCGACCAACGCCGTCCTCCATGACCCCCACCTGGCCCTCACACCCCCATGCCTCTGGGCTCTGTTCTTGAAACTTCCCTACCGCGCGATTTCTCGCCCAAAACCGACCAACGGCCCTCTCCATGACCCTCACCCCTGGCCCCGACACCCCCATGCCTCTGGGCTCTGTAGATGAGACCCTCCTACCTCACGATTTCTCGCCCAAAACCGACCAACGACCCCCACCTGGCCCCGACACCCCCATGCCTCTGGGCTCTGTTCTTGAGACCTCCTACCCCGCGATTTCTCGCCCCAAAACGACCGACCTCTCCCTCCATGACCCCCGCCGGCCCCCGATACCTTAATGCCTCTGGGTTCTGCTCTTGAGACCCCCCTACCTTAGATTTCTCTTCCAAAACCGACCAACGCCCCCCCATCATGACCTCCACCCGGCCCGACACCCCCATGCCTCTGGGCTCTGTTCTTGAGACCCCCATACCGCACGATCTCGCCCAAAACCGACCAACGCCCCCCTCCATGACCCCCACCTGGCTCCGACACCCCCAAGCCGCTGCTTGGGATCCCCCAACCCACCATCCCACCCTTCCTCGCCGAAGATCGACCAATACCCCCCATCACGCCTCCCACGACGCTTCCACCAGGCCCCGGCACCCCCCATCGCGCCTATCACCACGCCCCCACCAGGCCTCGGCATCTACATCCACTGAACCCTTTGAGCTTCGGATCTCCCACTCCACCATTTCTCGCCCAAGACCGACCGACACCTTCCACCTG